ATCCCATTGAACCAGGTCACCCGGCCATTCTGCGGCGCTCCATCTTTGGCATGGTATGCGTGTTCAGCATGTTGGCAAACGACATCGTGAGTAGTGGTGCTCTCCAGGCTTCTCAAAAGAGGCTTCAGCACAGGGCCAAGTCCTCGGCCGGCTGGCCGGGCTGGCAGGAGATGATCCGCGCATTTGTGTACATATGAATATGCTCTTTCATGTCGAACTGTTGTGAGGGTTTGTCTCAGAAGAGTGTCCCGGGCCTCCGGGGCCCGCGCACCGAAAATGTTGAAGGGGTCGGCTGCCTGGGGGGTCTGGATCTGGGCCGGTGCCTAGCCGATCTGATGTGACCAGTCGCGCCAGCAGATTGGGGGGAAGGGGTCCTGACCAGTCGCCAAGAGCAGCCGCCAGAAGCAGCCAAGATCTGGTCTGTGGAAAGGGGGGGGGGGGCAGGGGAGAGGCCAGGGGCCCGCGCCCATCGGCGAAGCGAGAGGAGCAAAACGAACGGCGAGACCAGCTCGCCGTCGCTCGGACCGCCCTTTCCCGTGCATTTTTCGGGTTGGTGCGTAGTTTTTTGTTGCTCGATGGTCCAGGATGGTCCTCGCTGGTTCTCGCCGGGGAAAAAAAATGCACATGTCCGAGCGATGCCAGCTCGGACGTCCATGTCCCGTGCATTTCTCGGGTTGGTGCGTAGTTTTTCGTTGCTCGAGGGTCCAGGATGGTCCTCGCTGGTTCTCGCCGAGGAAAAAAAAAAATGCGCATGTCCGGGCGCTGCCGGGCCAGGGGGGCGGCCCTCGCTCGGATATCGGCGGCCGGCCCAGGGCGGAAGTGCGGCGAGGGGGCGGGCCTCCTCGGCAGGCGGCGGGGCGTCCGAGAAGGCCTGCCCCCTCTCACGTCCCCCCGGAGCTCGCCGCCGATCCGAGCAGCAAGGAGAGGAAACGTGTTGGTCGGAAGGAGTAGACCAAGATCTGAAGTAGGACAGCGCATATCCCGGATGATAACAACCCACACAGCAATAGAGCATGTCGATGATTTGCAGTAGGAAAAGGAGCTTCAAGCAGATCGGAATCTGAGATCTCCAAGTATACCTGCCTCCAACGACCGGCGTGCACGAGAACGGCGCCCCGTGCACCGCACCATGCCTCGGACTCCCCGATTGCGGCCCCGCTCCAGCGCGGCGCTGTGCACAGCGCTTCGGCTCTGGGGGCAGAAGCTGCGCACCGTACTGGCCCTGGGTCGAGGATCGACTACGCCTCGGGCGAGGCCAGCGCGGTACGGTGCACACGGGTCGTCCGCGGAGGAGGGCCAGCATGGGTGAGCACAGGAGCACGGGGCCAGCCCTCGCCAGAACCGTCCAGGCCACCCTACCAGGGGTATGTCGACCCCCATCCCAGGCTATGTGGGTTTCTCGAGTGGACCAGACAGTTGGGACCCAGCCCTGGGATAAACGATGAGGGGGCGTCCATCCTCGATAGGGGTGCGTCCGAATGGCCCGCTTGGGGTGCATCCCGAAGCTTATCCTTGTTCCTGAGCGGCCAAACTTGTCGGTCAGAACCCGGGGATCGGGGGAGAAAAATCGCCTGCGAGTCTAGGTCACCCAGCTTCGCGCATCGCGCCCCGCGCCCCGCGATGCGCAGCTACCTTCGCACCCCCTCTGGCTAGCAACAACAGCACCCCTAACCCTTTGGGAGGGGACCCGAGTTAGGAGGGCCACCACAAACATTAGGGATACGGGTGGTCTGTTCTACAGGCGTATCAAACCAGATCGCCCAGATCTGTTATCAGCAATGCAAAAAGACGGGGACCTGAGAGAGGCCACGTCCTCACTATGCCATCAGAGGTTTCTCCCATGCCTCGATGGCCTTCGTGCCGCCGCCTTGGCGCAGGCCTGCTGCCCGACCCGATCCTCTTCGCGCCCCCGCGGGTGCCCTCGGAGCAGGGCGGCTGGAGAGCACGGCGGCCCAAAACCGGCCCCCCCGGGAGAAGCCCGGAGACAGCCCCCCCCCAAGGAGGCGCCCGACGAGGCCCCCCAAGGAGGCCCCCAAAAAGAGGCACCAGAGCTCCTCCCCCCGCGGCCCCCGAAGGCCTTCCGCAGAGACCCCAGGAAGCGTGCCCGAGGACTCTGGCCCACGCCAGCGTCGTCGTCGTCGTCGCCGCCGCCGCCATTGTCGCCGTCGTCCCCATCCCAGGGTCAGCGGCACCGGCCGCAGGGCCTTTGCACTCGCTTCCCGGACCTCCCCCGGGGCCCAGACGCACCAGCTTCTCGAGCTGCGTCCAGCTCTGTGGCGACAAGGGGCCCCCCGAAGGCCAACTGCCGCGGTCTCAACTCGCCCCCCTCTGCACGTCGTTCGTTTCTAAGCGTGCTCATTTCTAAGTGTGCTCGTTTCAGATTCTTCCTGGCCCCCTGGTGGCCAAGAAGAGGCCCAGGACAGTAGACACGAGCAATGCGTAGCGGCCTATGGCAACGCACTGCTGCGGCAGTGGGCCGCAGGCAGCAGGCGGGCCGCACGGGGGCCGCCTGCGGTCCGCAGCGGGGCTGTGCGCACGCCTGAGCAGACGACTCGAGCGCGCTGGGCCCGCCGACCGCTCTCGCGGCCGAAGCCCACCGCCGTGCCGCGCGTGCAGCGCACGGCGGGGGCCTCTCGAATGCACCGGCATGGGAAGATGGGACCATGAGATCTGGGCAGATCTCTGTGGGGAAAGAAACAAAACAAGCAAAACAACACAACAAAAACACAACACACACATACACATACACACACAAAAAAAAAACACACACTGTGGGGAAAAAACACACAAAACACACACACACACACATACTGTGTGTGTTGTTTTTATCCTGGCCATGATGCCCAGACATTCTGTGCCTTGACTTTTTCGATGCGGGTTCCCTCGAAGTCTCGTCCCATTCCCAGCGGCGTCGGCGTGGAGAGGATCGGGCTCCACGTCGAGCCGCATCGCCGATACATGCGGGACGGAACTCGAGCTCTTGAGGGTCCTTGGTGCTGAGACGGTCTCACGCGAGCCTGGAACTGCTGTTGCTCCTGGGGTCTCCTGGGGCCTTTCTCAGGACTTGCCGGGTTAGTTTCCTGGGGCCCTGGGAGCCGTTGCAGGGAACGAAAGCATCCCAGTACGCTCCAGCGTGCAAGACGAAGCGGGACAAAACTTAGGTCGAGCGGCTGTATCGGGCGCCGCGGCCGCTCCAGAGAGCCCTCGCTCCGAGAGCACGCTGGAACCCTCTGGAACGATCTGCCCGGGCTCGCCCGAACATGCCTCGCGTGGCTGTGTCTCGGAGCCCTCTCAGTCGGCGGCTCGAAAGGGTGTGGTTTGCAAAGAGTGTGTCTCGCAACCGGCACCGCTGGGGGACGGGCGAGGACCTCTCAACAAAGCTCTCCGCCGCGCCCCGAGGAGGCCCGGCGAGGACAGCGTCGTGCCCCCCGGGCCCCGACGGCGCCGATCGCAGGCCACACCCCGGCGCAACCATATACATACCCCTGGCAGTCGCCGAGGCTCTGAAGGACCGTCCTCGGGGCCGTCCCGGGGGCTGGCTCGGGGCCTGCCCCCGGATCGGCGGAGCGCCGGCGGGGAAGTGAGAGGGGCCACAGAGTGGCCTTCCCTGGAGGCGGCGGGGCTCCTCAGAAGCCCCCGGCCTGCTGAGAAGCCCTCCGCGGCCGCGGAGGGGGAAGGCTCAGAGAACTTCTCCGAAGGCTCGAGGCCTTCGGAGAGGGCCCGCCTCATCCGCCTGCCCCCCTCGGCGCGATGCCGGCAGGAGTGTGCTTGGGAGCCCGTGGCCCTCTCCCCGAGCATGCCCCAAGGCCACCAGCAGGCCTCCAGAGGGGCCCCTGGGGTGCCCCCACGGGATGCCCCGGAGAGTGCACCTAGAGGCCCACAAGAGGCCCCCAGGGGGAGCCACAGAAGGCCCTCAACAAGCTCCGAAGAGGCCCAGATCCTGGGAGCCCGAACATATTACTGAAACGCTCCTGGGAGCCCTATAGGGGGGGGGACCAGGAACACGGCTGGGACGTCGCTGTGGCCTTCGTAGGTCCCACTGCGCCTTGACCCACAGCCGAACGTCGCCAAACGCCTCCAAGACTGTCAAAAAGGGCCCCACTGTCACAAAATAGCAGGAGAGAATTTGCATGAGAAGTCATACAGGATGGACGCACAATGCACAGCACAATGGCGTGGCTCAGTTTCTCCAGTGCGTTCGCGGCCGACCCTGTGTTCGCAACCCACGCAGGACACACTTCAGCACGCTGCGAGCCCACCAGCTGCCATCGGCATGCTCTCTCCTGTTGTTCGGTGCAGACTCGCGCTGCTGTAACTCATTCTGCTTGCGGCCCAACCATGTTCGACATGCTTGCCCGCCAACGCTCCCAACTATACACCTAATATATCGCCGCGCAGTTTGCTCTGAACGCGCCTAAGCAGACGAAGCCGGCACCGCGGCAAACCCATGGCAACCTCTGTGTCCGAGGCGGACACTGCCCTGGTGCTCGAGGCGTCCTTCCCAAGACGTAAGGTCGCGCGTCGGATAAGCGGCACGGCAACACATCTCCTCTTGCCAGAATCCCTCAAACCCCATGCCCAGCAAGTGTTGGGAACTGCTGTGACGTCTTCCCGTTTGAGCCAGGCGCTTCCCTTTGTCAGGCGCCCAGTGCAGAGAAACGGTTCTTCACGCGTCTGGGAGCCAGGGGGGATGTTCACGATTCATCCTACATAGGAAAGTCCAGCTGCGTTTTCTATATACACATATACATATACATATACATATATATATATGATGCGGTTAGGCAAGATCGATATGCAAATGAGGCCTCACGTATCTGTCTTCTGGGTGCGTGTATGTACACCTGTTGAATGACATGTATACGCAGAAATGCACAAGATGTGCCCCCCGCGAACATCTGAGAAAACGGGTTCGCCTGGCGGCCCACAGAAGCATGGAGCAGGCAAGCGTGTGGGCAAGGGCGATCGAGTCGCGAGAGGTTCGCGCCACCACAGCGGTCCTCGAGTTTATGCTTGCTCGAGTTTCTGGTCACTTCCTGCAGGTCGTACCCCTTGTCGACTTGGCGGCCCAGCAACTTCGACACCTCGGCAGCGGGACGCTTTTGCAACCTTCTTCAGAAACGCGACACCAACAAAGGAGATACAAGCAAAGCGTAATAATCATAAGCTGCCAGAACTCCCAAGATGTTAACGTGTATGCAGCTTGCTGTTCGCTTTATTCCGTTAACTCAGAACGTCAAAATACAGCTTCCGAGGCTTACGATGCCGCGCTCTGTTCAGAGCGCGTGCCCCTTGACCCATCGACCCCCTCCTGGGGGCTGGCCCGTTTGGCCCCATTGACCCGAGAACGGCCCCCCGGCGCCGAAGGCGGGGAAAACCTTTTCCGCCCTGATTTGCTCAGAACGTTGGAGGTCGGGGCACCCCAAGAATTATCTAAGTAATCACGGCATGTTCTTACCGTAGCGTAACAAAGAGCTCATCAGTTTCTGACACCGCGTGGATCGTTCACCCTCGAGCGACCGCGGCTTTCCGACAGCGCTGGTCGCTCGATGTCGGCCGCTTCCAACCAACTGAAGGAGATGGAGGGGGAGAAGCCGGTGCAGATGGAGGATGAGAGGGGAGGAGGAGGGGAGGAGGAGGAGGAGGAGGAGGAGGAGGCTGGCAGCGTTCAGCCCCTGAACGCTCGCGCCAGGGTCGCTGCCGCGACCACGCGGCGCCAACCCGCCGCAACTACGGCCGGACCTAGGACAGAATAACATCCTTCGAGAACATGAGTTCCTCCGCAGGCAGGCACCCTCCCCCGGGATGCACAAGAACACCCAACAAACACGAAGAGAATTAGGGTACCCTCCCCAAACCGACCTCGATCTCATGCCTCGGTCCAACCGTACTCACTTCACGGCCACGCCCGCGGGCCTGCGTCGGCGACGACTTCGGCCCGGGGGCCGCTCCGGCGTCGACCCTGTCCTTGGACGTCGTCCGCAGGACCTGCCCGAGGTTGTAGTCTTCGTTCCTCGGGGCCGCAGGTCGCCGGCAGTCCCAAACGTCCAGCGCCTTGACACAGCAAGACCCCCTTGGCTTGGGCCTGGCCGCGTTTCCAACCTCTGCGGTCAGGAACGTTTGCTTAGCGTGTCGCGGCGGCGGCCTCGGCCAAGCGCCATGCCCAGCGAACTGACAGCATGTCGCCCCACTCCGCGGGGCGGGAGGCTGGGGAAGGCTCGCGACGTTGCCGCTCAGAAATGGGGGCGTCAGTCAGTAGCGCGTCGCGCCGGGGCGTGGTGGGCCAGAACCGGCGGCGCGACACGCTAAGCAAACGCTCCCGACCGTAACCGTGCTAAGTCTCCAGAACCCCCCCTCACAAGAGTGGAAACGAACTATGTTTGGCGACCAGATTGAGGCACTGGGACCCCACCAATAATGAAAAATAGTGATTCCTCCTCGGCGCCCGCCACACATCAACGACGACAAGAACGAGATGAAGGAGGAGAGTGTAAGCAACGCCTTTGGCGAAGAATGTGTCGATCTACATTGCAATCCTCTTACAAACGTGTTCAAAATTCCCTCTGTCGCGCAACCCCCAAGATTATCTGGCACGCCCAACAACTGAGGGAAAAAGCATCTCCGCCGCGACAACGACGACGACGACGACGACTACAACTACGACCACGACTACGACTCCGACTACGACACGACGACAACCACGACTGCGATCACGACTACAAGCGCGACTGCAATCACGATTGCAACTACAACCACCGATTCCTGTGGCAATCCTCATGATAAGATGCTCACACATCCACGCATTCTTTCGCGTGCAGGGTGGCCCACGCTGGACTGATGAATTCCTGGGAGAAGGAAACCCCCAACACGATCCAGCCCGCCCAACAACAGAGGGAAACTAATCCCCGCCGCGATGACGACGACGACGACGAGGACGACGGCGACGGCGACGGTGACGGCGACGACAACGGCGACAGCGACGACGGCGACGACGACGGCTGCGATAACGACCACGAGGAGGAGCAGGAGGAGGACGAGGACCAGCGTAAACCCAAGACTCATACGATGTTGGAGCAGGAGGAAGGAGGAGGGGAGGAGGAGGAAGAGGAGGAGGAGAAGGAGCAGGAGCAGGAGGAGGAGGAGGAGGAGGGAACAGTTTCATTCATCGCCGAGAGAAGCAGGGGGGGGAGCAAATCTAAAGACCTCTGGAGGTTGAAAACCTGTCTCGGCCCCGGGACCGTCGACGAACGGCTGAGGTCTAAAAGCCAGCCCCCGGGATTGGATCGAGGGGTCTGGCGCCCCACTCAGGCCTCCGACAAGAAGACTCTGTCTGCACAGTCCAAGTTTTGCCTTGACGGACCTCCGGTAAGGAACTGAGCCCCTTTTGGGCCCCAGCAGGGCGCACAAAAGGACATTACATCGTGCTTTGAGAATTACATGTAAGGAATACTTGCGCACATATATCTTTGACGGTCCTGAGGTGTCCCCCGAAGTTTCTGTGGATCGTTGGAGGAATCTGTGGGTCAGAAAATTCCGTTGGACATCTGCGGGGAAGCCAATTTACGCATTTGATGTCTACGATCAGGTCGGGCATGTCCTCCTGCAGGCGGATCTTGTAAGAAAAATGCAAAATCCTCGAGACCGGTTCAAAAATAGTCGAAAAATCGTCCCCTGACTTGTTTGGAAACTATTTTTTAATATTCCTCGTGTAGAGGGACACGCCCGACTAAAGTCTACGAGGCGTGCGGGAGGAAAACTGAAAAACAGGACTGAGGAGCCTCGAGCACCTTCCGGTCTCGACCGCTTCCCTGGCAGCCGCTTGCTCACATCCAAGACGGATGATATAACGGTCCTGGAGCCCAGCAGTCTCCTCCAGACGCCGAAACTGTTGGCGCGCCTCCTCCTTACTCGATCCCAGACGTTGGCAGTCTGGGGGAGGGGGCCTCCTCGAAGATCGACTTGCTTGGAGGCATCCGGCATCTACTGACCCGGGCCGATCCAAACCTGGGTCGGTCGGGCCTAGCAGGATCCTGCAGGATCCTGCGCCCGTCAGCGCACCCCTGGCGCTGCAGGAGCCTGCAGGATATCCAGCGCCCTGGCTGACCCCCGTTTGCATGGACCCCCGGCGCTTGAGCCCCGCGAAGGCATGCACTGCTGTGCGCTCCGGCCAGAGTTTTGATGGCACTCCAGCCGTGGCGACGGGGAGGAGTAGGAGTAGGAGGAGGAGGAGGAGGAGGAGGAGAAGGAGGAGGAGGAGGAAGAGGAGGAGGAGGAGGGGAGCCGCCCCCAGGGGATGGCGAGGTCTCGTGTAGCTCTGCGAACGACCTCGCCCCGCCGGACCCTCCACCCGCCCTCGAAGGTGGCGACCGCGTCGCGGCTCGCAGCCCCCCAGGGATGGCGGGGTCTAGCGTCTGCCCGCGTGTGACGTCACTCCGCTGGGACCCCCCCCCAGCAGCCCTCGAAGGTGACGACGGCTCCGCCGACAGCAGCTCACAGGGACGGCGAGGCCTAACTTCAATCTGCGTGGGGCGCCACTCCGCTGGACCACCCCAGCAGCCCTGGGAAATGGCGGCGGCTTCGCAGATCGCAGCCCCCCAGGGATGCCGAGGTCTACTCGAGGTCCGCGTATGACGCCATTCCGCTGGACCCCTCAGCAGCCCTTGAAAGTGGTGACAGGCTGGCACATCGCCCCCCCCCCTCCTCGAGTTAGGGCCCGCGCATGACGTCACTCCGCTGGACCCCCCAGCAAACCTCGAAAGTGGCGACGGGTTTTTACATATCGCAGACCCCCAGGGATAGCCAGGCCAAATTCAGGTACGTGTGTGACGTCACTCCGATGGACTCCCAGCAGTCTTCGAAAGCGGCGACGGCTTCGCAGATCGCAACCCTCCAGGGATTGCGACGTCTTGTAGATCCCCGTCATGACCCCGCAGGACGCTCCAGCAGCGGTTGAATTTAATGCGCGTGTGGCGTCACTCCGCTGGACCCCCCAGATGCCCTCGAAAGTGACGACGGCTTCGCAGATCGCAGCACCTCAGGGGTGGCAAGGTATAACTGGAATCCGCGTATGACGCCACCCGATGGACCCCTAGCAACCCTCGAAGGTGGCGGCGGTTTCGCAAATCGCAGCCCCCAAGGGACGGTGAGGTCCAATTCAGACCCGCGTATGGCGCCGTTTCGCTGGACCCCGCCAGCAGCCATCGAAAGTGGCGACAGCCTCGCAAATCGCAGCCCCCCAGGGGTGCCGAGGTCTACTTGAGGTCCGCGTATGACGCCATTCCGCTAAACCCCATCCAACCCTCGAAACTGGCGACAGGCTCGCAGTTCGCAGACCCCCCCCCCAGAGACGGCGAGGTCGAATACAGGCCATTGGCTGCGCAAACTATATTGGAAGCGCGCGCGTTGCGCGATTCACAAGGCAACAGCAGAAGGACGAGGACCGAGGCCCGAGGCTCGAAGAAAACATGGGGGCGGGAACGACGGGGAAGAGAGGGACGGAAAATGGACGGAAAACTGACCGCGACTGCACCAGTCAAGCGGCAGGAGGAGGAAGAGGCAGTCAGGCGGAAGGAGGAAGAGGGAGGGCGGCTATCATTTCCCAGAGGCATGCCGGACAAGCAGCGCGACCCGCACCATGTTGCCCTGGCGCTCCACAGGACCAGCTGCTCAAAGCGAGTGCAGGAAGCGAGCGAGGCCGAGCTCGCCCGCCAGGTTCCCCGTTTCCTTCCTGCACCTTGCAGTGAGGAGACGAAACGCTCGTGGGCGCGCCGCCAGGTCTTCAGGCCGTCCGCGGGACATGACATCAAAGCTAACCTGACCCGCGTAAGAGGTCATTTGCTGGACCCTCAAGCAGCCCTCGAAAGCAGCGACAGCTTCGCAGTTCACTGCCTTCCAGGGAGGATGAGGTCTAAGATGAGTCCGCGTAGGACTTCGAGATGACGGCCCCTCCCAGCAGCCTTCGAAAGTGGTGACAGATTTGCAGTTCGCAGCCCCCCCAGGGATGGTGAGGTCGAGTCTGAGCCTGCGTAGGACGTCGTTCAGCTGGACCCCCAACAACCCTGGAAAGTGGCGACAGCTTCGCAGTTTGCAGCCCCCCAGGGATAGTGAGGTCGAATATGAAGCTGCGTAAGACGTCCCTGTGCTGGAAACCCCTGCAGCCATTGAAAGAGACGACGGTTTCGCAGCGCTCAGACCCCCAGGGATGGCGAGGTCCAACCTGGGTGCGCCGTCAAAAATGGCGACGGTTTCGCAGATCGCAGCCCCCAAGGGAAGATGAGGACTAATCTGAGCCAGCGTAAGACGTCACTCCGCTGGGCCCCCCAACAGCATACAAAAAAAGGCGGCAGGTTCGCACGTCGCAGCCTCCCCCCCACGGACTATGGAGCGGTGTAATTTGGGTCAGCGTAAAGCGACTGGGCTGGACCCCCCAGCAGCCCTCAAAAGTGGCGACAGCTTTGCAGTTCGCAGCCCCCCAGGGATGGCCAGGTCATGTAGGACGACGACGTAAGAGGCAGAAGGACAGGCAGGACAGGAGGCAGGATGGCAGGCAGGATGACAGACAGGCAAGAAGAAGGGGGGTGGGAAAGAGAAGGTGTGCGACCGCGTGCCGCGGGCTTGCCCCCCTCCCCCCGTGATATATCTGGATCGATATACATACATATAAATGTGTGTAAGTGGATACACTAACAGACGTGCATATACATATGCAAGTGTACATATTCATACAAATCCACATATACGTATACATATAACTATACGTATACATACACAAACACATCGACATGCATATTGACACACGCAATCGATTATACATACACGCACACATCTACATCTGAATACGCTGATCCATATACATAAACAGAACCATGCATCTACATATATGCATGCTTACATGTAGAGTTATAACTGCATAAACAGTTTTGTTCATACATACACATATGTGTTTTCGTACATATATATATCTACACATATATATGCGTGTATGTATATATATATACATGTATGTATATGTATTTTTGCTTGTGAACCAAGGAGTTCTGGACGCCTTCCCAGCGCGGACGAGGAACGAACCACGCTCCCGTGGTAACTGCCCAAGCGAGCGGTCACCTACGGCGGCGAGGAGCACTGGCATGGAGGGGTCAGGCAATCACGGCGCCACCGCGAGAGGGCTACCTCCAAAGAAGCGAAGTTGATCCTTAGTCACCAAGTGATATATGTGTGTATGTATGTAAGCACGCACATATCTATATATATATATATATATACAGAGAGATCTATGTGTGTGGCCAATTCCGGAATCCTTGAACCCAAAAACGTCTACATCTGTTGGGAGCGCATCCCTTATTTCCGCCGGCTTCCGCCGCCCTTCCGCCACCCTTCCGCCGGCGGAACTGGCCTCGTTCTACTTCCGCCGCCCTCTGCCGACCCTCCGCGGCATGCCGCCGAGGAAACGATGCCAACTCCTTCGCTCCTAGAAGGAGAGGCCCCTCCTGGAGCGCTCTACATGTGCATGCGGAAATCACCCGCACTCTCGACCCAACCTGCAGGCGTCATGCATCGGGGCTGCTGGGCCTGGAGGAGGGGCCAACGTCTGCCAGTCGCGTGTCGCTTCCACGACGCACGGATCGGAGCGTCGTCGTCAGAGTCAACGTGCTGCCGTCGTCGTCGCCGTCGCTGCCGCGGCTGCGCCCGTCGCTGGCATCGTGCTGCCGTCGTCAATGCCGCCGCAGCGCCGTCGCCGTCGTCGTCGCCGTCGCCGTCGTCGTCGTCGTCGCCGCCGTCGTCATCGCTGTCATCGCCGTCGCCGTCGCCGCCGAGGGACTGCACGGACGGCGGCGCCGCTCCGGAAGCGCCGCATCTGCTCCGAGAACGTCCCGGAGCTCTGTGACCGGTCTGGGCCCGGACCGCCTCCGCGGAGGCGGGGGGGACGAGAGGAGGATGAGGAGGAAGGAGAAGAGAAGAGGGAGAAGAAGCCGAAGAGGAGAGAGAAGAGAGAACTAGTGTAGGAACAGGAGGGAGGAGGAGGAGGTGGAGGAGGAGGAGGAGGAGGGAGGAGGGAGGAGGGAGAAGGAGGGGGGAGGAGGAGGAAAAGGAGAGGAGGGGGGACAAGACGATGACGCCATAGAAGAACCATCAAACAGGAAGAAGAAGAAGAAGAAGAAGAAGAGAGAGGAGGAGGAGGAGGAAGAGGAGGAGGAGGAGGAGCAGGAGGACGAGGAGGAGGAGAGGAGCGAGAGGAGAAGGAGCAGGAGCGGCAGTAGCGTCACCGGAATCCGGTCAGCCGCAGGCGGCGGACGGTGCGAGGCACGGGGCAGCTCAGAATCAAAGGCTGCGGCGGTCGAAGGCAACCTTCATGAGCCTGCGGTGCGTGGCGTAAAGCCCTTGTTGACAGAGTCGCCAATTTTTCAACTCCAAGTAGAAGTAGCACGCTAGCACGAGCCTCTTGAGAGTCATTATGAGGGAGTTCTCGGCTGGCTCTGGGTCGTAGTGGTCATCGATGCCGATGCGGCGCAAAAGGATCAGGATGCAGCTGGGCACGTGGAAGAGAGAGGGATGAAGGAGCCGCGGGCACTTCAGGTAGTGGCCGATGCTGCCAGGCTCTTCGTGGCAGCCCAGGAGGCAGGTGGACCTGTCAGGTGAAACGTGCACCATGTAGGAAGTGTGCCAGCCGCGTGCAGCTTGATCCACCTCCAGGCAGGGGCCACTTCAGGTTATCTCGAAGGCGGCGCCAACGGCGTTGAGGGAGCCCAGGAGGTACGCGTACCTGAAACCAGCTCTCCAATCGCTGGGCAATCGAGATCGTGAACGAGTCCGAGTGCCATCGGTCGTCGAGGTTGGCGAGTACCATCAACATCAAAGAAGTAGGGCCTAGGACTGTGCAAACCCTAGCGGATGAAGCGACTAGACGGCTGCTACGTATACGTGCGGGAGCTCATTACAATGCCTCTTGGGAGCCATTTGTGGAGCCTCTGCGCGATGAACTTGCTAGGTTAAGAGGTGCTGGAGATTTCCTTGGGGCCAGTCTGCTTATCGCACAGGTTTCTGGAGGTCTCTGGACTCAGGCCGACGTGTTCAGGAAGAGATACGTGATTGATGATCGGTGCCAGTGGTGCCTCCAGATGAGGGGGTCGGTTTTTCACCGATTATGGGGCTGTGACGGCTCCAAGCTGATCAGGAGGGACCATGACAATAGTGGAATGGGGGCCGCTGCCGTGGCCCTGACTCAGCCTGATATCTTGTTCACGAGAGCCCTGGTGGACTCCAAGAGGACCGAGTTCCCGAAGATCCTCCAAGGTGCCGAGTATAGGTGGGCTGTGAAGCCCGAGAGTGGAGTGCTAGGCGACACCGTCTGCATCGACGGCTCCGCCTACGACGGAGATATTCGTTGGCTGTTGCGTGCTGGTTGGGCGGTCGTCTCGATCAGCCCGAGTATGCAGGTGGACGCAGTGGCCTACGGGCCCTCCCCCCTCCCAGTGCAGGACGTGCCGTCCAGTGAGCTTTACGCCCTCTACATGGCGCTATGCCTCATGGGACCCAGTATCCACATCATAACGGATTGTAAAATGGTCTACGACGGGTGGAACATGGGAAGGGAGGGGACGGTAAAATCCAACAAGTGCTACGCGGAGCTCTGGCGCCTCATCTGGATGAGGATCGAGGACGTCGGAGCAAATTCGGTGAACGTGTGCTGGATGCCTTCGCATATGTCAGAGGCGGCGGCGCAACGAAGAGGCTACGAGCCTCATTGGTTCAGAGGCAACCAGGAGGCAGACTCCTGGGCCAAGACAGGTGCCAAGGCGCATCCAGCAAATCATCACCTTCGGGATCGTCTGCGGCATCATCATGATCAGGTTACGCTCATCTCCAGATATATGGTGGCAGTTCTCAAGCATGTCCATCAACTGGGCTACCCTGATGTATCACCATACTCTGAGCGTGCCAAAAGAGAGCCTAGGAATTCGGAGGCCCCGATTCTCGAGATAGTCCCAGATAAGGGTCACGTTGTCTCGCAGGCTCCTGGCGGTGGGTGGGGATGTGGTGTCTGTGGGCTGGCGCGGGCGATTCGCTCTCGGCTGGTGCAGCTGCCGTGTCCTGGGCGTCCGAGGATTGTGTCCCAGGCCCACCCCACCCATCGTCTCTGGCAGAATGGAGGGCTGACCTGGTGCGTGCGCTGTGGAGCGTATGCCCGTTCGAAGGTCTAGGAGTTGTGCAAAGAGTGTGCGGGAAACCCCGACACTGAGTGGAAACGGAAAGCCCTGGGGATTTTGAAGCAGGGGAAGGATCCCTCGCACTCTAAACTGGAGGCGGTTATCCCTGTCCCCCTCAGGCGCTGAGTTTCCGACTCGTGTAAAGGGCGGGCGTCTTGTGTCATCGGGACGACCGCTGAGGAGCGCAAGAGCGCAAGAGGAGAGGGGCAGGAGGAGGAGAAGAAAAAGGAGAAGGATGAGAGAGCAGGAGAAGGCGGAGGGATGAGGAGGAGGGAGAAAAGGGGGGAGGGAAGCAGGAGGGAAGGGGGAAGCGAGAAGAAAGGGGGAGGATGGGGAGAAGGGTGCGGGAGGATACGAGGACGAGAAGGAGGAGGGCTGCCCTGTGGCAGACACGCCTCGCACCTCTGCCACTGGGCTCCTGCATCTTCCTATCTCATCCAGCCTTCTCCCCCTCCTCCTCCTCCTCCTCCTCCTCTTCTCCCTCCCTCCTACTACTACCCTTTCTCCTCTCTTCTCCTCCCGCTCCTACACTCCTTACCCCGAGGCCGGTCGAAAGGCCGGGCCGCCGAAAATTTGACGACAGCTTCACATGGGGAGGGCGGGTGGTTATCAACATGTCGCTCTCGCCTTAGCGCCGCGCACATTCGTTAAACATTTGAAAGGGCTTCATGGACTGAGGGCGGGTCGTTTTCTAAATGTGGCTCTCGCCTTAGCGCAGCGCGCATTCGTTGCCAAAAAATGCAAGACATTCACGGATTGAGGGCGGGTCGTTTTCAAAATGTGGCTCTCGCTCTAGCGCCGCACACATTCGTTACAACAAATGCAAGAGCTTCACATCTTGAGGGCGGATCGTTTTCAAAATGTTGCTCTCGCCTTGGCGCCGCGCACATTCGTCCCAAACGTTTGCAAGCGTTTCACTGGTTCCCATGGCTAACGTACCAGAAATGGTGCTTTGGAACGATTCAGCACTGTCAGGGCGAAACAATTTTGTTGACATGCGGTGTTGACGTCCCAGGAATGGCCTTCTGGCGCGATTCAGAACCGCCAAGACGTAACAATCAGGTTAAATCGTGGCGTTCTAGTCCTGGGAACGGTGTGTTGGCACGCTTCAAGATGTTCATACGGTTGTCCACTAACGCGGCAATTCATTGAGTGGAAATGATAGTGGGAATGATCCCTTGTAGGGGCCTGCGGAGAGGGATCTTGGAGGGAGGGTGTATCTCGACATCGTTGATGAGTCTTGGATTTGCACTGGTCCTCCTCCTCCAACTCCTCCTCCTCCTCCTCTTCATCCTCCTATCCAGGCGGCACGCCGTCCCCGTCGCTCTTTGAAATGGTGCTGGCACAACCCCATGGCGCACGGTACGGGCACCCTGGGGGAAGCCGTTGCCTAGCGCCCGGCAATCGCCCAGCAACCAAGCAACGGCCGCAAGTGGGGGGAAAGTCGCACCAGCTGGGGCCCATGGCAAGGATTACCCTGAACCAGGACCTCCGTCTCACCCTCCTCATCGTCATCCCTCCTCTTTCCTTCCTCCTCCTCCACCTTCTCCTCTTCCTGGTCCTCCCTCACCAAATCCCCCACTGCCCATGCCTCCGATCTTCTTGAACCTCCCCCTGCTCCCTATTTTCCTCGTGTTCCTCCTGCACTCCCCTCATCCTCACTTTTCTCACCATCTCCTTCCTCGTCTGCCTCCTGCTTCCTCATCCTCATAATCTTCTCTTCTCTCCATCCTCCTGCAACGCCTCCTCGTCCTCCGGCTCGTCCTCCGCTTCCTCCTCCTTCTCTTCCTGCTCCTCCTCCTCCTCCTCCTCCTCCTCCTCCTCCTCTTCTCCTCCTCCACCTCCTCCACCTCCACTTCCTTTTCCTTCTCCACATCGTCCTCCTCCTCCTCCTCCTCCTCCCCACCTCCTCCTCCTCCTCCTCCTCCTCCTCCTCCTCCTCCTCCTCCTCCTCCTCCTCCTCCTCCTCCTCCTCCTCCTTCCTCCTCCTCCTCCTCCTCCTCCTCCTCCTCCTCCTCCTCCTCCTCCTCCTCCTCCTCCTCCTCCTCCTCCCCCCGGTAACTGAATCCCCAGACGACCCGTGCCGGCTGCGAGAAGCTTGGCGAAACAAGGAGAAGCGCACACCGCCGTAGGGTGCCCGCGCAAGGATCAGAATGTCCTCCAGTCAGCTGCGCGACGATCAGAAAGGGGTCTTACGCGAGATGGCATAGCGACCTTACGACGCGGCTTACGCGGGCCACCAGCGCGGTACGCCACATTCGAGACGAGGGCGCTTACGCGCGACCTTACACGGGCAGCTTACGCACCAATGCCGGCGCAGACGACCCCGCTTTGTTGCGACGCTCAGATT